CCCACGTTAACCAAGGGAAACTCGCAGCCAACCTGAGCAAGGAAGAATGGGAGGAATCCTTGGAGCAAACCTTGATGCAAAGCCAAACCGCGACTTGACACAAGTCAACCCGTGGAGGCGGCATACCTTGCTTGCCAGCAGCGATTTGAACTTCGGACTGCTGCTGTTTTCCCAAGCACTTAGTCTCTTGTCATTTGGATAACGGGCCGCCCTAGTGTTGAAATCCTCGAACTTAAGGCCAAGTGGAAAGCGGAAGGTGAATCGCGGTCCCTGGCATCAAACCATGGAGGCAGCACCTGCATTCATGCACACATAGGTATCTGCATCCATATGTACATCTATATATATATATATATATCCGCCGACATTGTTCGGCGTGTCGGATACCTAAGAGAGGACTATTGGATACCTAAGAGAGGATAGAGGATAACCCCCCCCTTAGTCCCCGGACCTCAAATACAGATGATTTTTGGTGCCACCCCCCCTCCCCCCCCCCCTCCCCCGCGGCAATTTGATGACGTTCCACTAAGCGTAGTCTTCGGGGAGCGGGTCTGGAGAAACGGGGGTCCCAGGCTCGAATCCTCCCGCCGCCTCTTTCTGCCGGCTGAGGTTTTGTGCCGCCTTTTGCGGAAAACTTTGAGACACACGGTGTTCGGTGTTTTTCCTTTGCTGACACCATTGAAAAAAACATTGTGCTTTCCGATTTCCTTGACAGTTGGCACCAATTTCCCCCCAATTCCCCTAATTTCCCCCAATGCTTCCCCGCAAATTGCGCCTTACTTTCTCACCAATTCCCTCCCACTTTCCTTTCAATTTCCATCCGACTTCCCCCCAATTTCCCCCCCAGTTTCCCCAAAATGTCCTGGCAAATTCCCAAACCCCAGCTTCCTTCCAAGTGTCGCCCCCAATGTCCTTCGTGTCGGATACTTGGGCATGCTAAGCCACGCTTCTCGCAAGCAAGAATGCCGTACAAGGGGCCCCTCAGAAATCAGCTTATGCGCGCACCCCGCCAAAATGACACGCAGTGGCCATGACATACCACCCAGCACTAAGGTGCCCTAAACGGCGAGCCTTCCTGTTCGCAATTGTACGCCCTTTTTCGTCGCCACCCTTTCCCAACATTTTACTTGGAGGCATTGTTCGGCACCCTTTTTGGGAGCACCCTCTTGGTGGCACTCAACACTCCGCCGACATTGCTCGGCGTGTCGGGGAGGATGGGGGAACCAGAGAGGACAGAAGAGCATACTAGGAGGCTCTAAAGTATATGTATGCATATATATATATATATAGATATTCAAATTAAAAGACGTGGTTCTATTTACATGTTTATGTATGCACAATATTATACTATATATATAAATGCAACAACATAAAGTCGGGGGAACCTTTTTTTCAACCCTCCGAACCTTTTTTTTCAACCCTTCCCTTTTTTTCTAACCCTCAAGCCTTTTTATTTAACCCTCCCCCCTTTCTTTTCAACCCTCGCACCCCTCTTTTCTAACCCTCCCCCCTTTCTTTCCAAGCCTCTACCCTTTCCTTTTAACCCCTCTGCCTTTTAACCCCTCTGCCTTTTGCCCTGATGGGCCTGTAACCGAAGCATTCGGCAACTGCGCTAAGCTGCGATAAGGAACACAGCTGCACGCGCGCACACTGCTGCCTCGCCGAGGCCTGCGACCGAAGCCTTCCACAGCTGCACTGAGCTATAGGAAGACAGCCACAGCGCACACACACACACACACGCACTGCTGCCTCACCAAGACCTGCGACAAAAGGCTTTCGCAGCTCAAGGCTCCAACCGAAGTCTTCCACAGCTGCACCGAAGCCTTCCACAGCTGCACTGAGCTAAAGGAAGACAGCTGCAGGGCACACACACCTGGGCTGCTCTGCTAGAAGCTTAACTTGTGATGAAGCCTACACCAGCTTACCCTCGGAGAATCACTCTTGTAGCAACCGCTCCTCATTCTTCCACCAGTTTTGCCATCCACCCCAAACCCTTGACTCCAGACGCAGTGCTGCACCATTGGAATACTCGACGTGGTCTCACACCACCACTGTCACATAAGAGATCGTCATTTAAAGCTTGGAAGAATGGGTGTAGCACGCTTGCTTCAATGAAACTCTGCTGCCTTTGTCTCACAGGGCATGTGTAGATAGCTTCCTCGCAGGCCTTAAGTGGCTTCTTTCACCAGGTCTTGCGTTCGCGTCCCAGCGTCGTTGGTTGGGATATTTGCGTATCAGCAGTGGTCATCTTTTACAGCACCCAACTGACATAAACACATGTTTACAATCTCCAATATGCTGAAACTCTGTGCTTCCACAACACCTGGAACTGGTTCTTTCAACCGCAGCCACCTGTAATCGAGCTGCTGGATACCCATCCAACACTTGCTGATACTGCCACATGTAAAAACAACCTGTACTCGGTGCTCCATCCTTGGCAATGCTGGCACGCACGACCATTTTCGGGCATAAGACCTTGGAAATATGGTTTGCGACCATCTCAACCACTTGCGGCATCGACCGCCTCTGCAGGCATCACGCCTCCCTGCAGTCTGCTTTGCAGAACCCAGAAAGTTGTCACACCGTCCACATCGGTTCCGCCTGCTTCCCCAGTGCGGATGTAGACCTGGCGGTAGTTGAGATTGCCACACAGCCGCGGCTCCCGATGCTCCCAAAAATCCCTCGCAGGGGATCTGCCCGCGGACCGCAGGCTTTTGCTGTTGAACAATGCATCTGCGGAGCGGGCGGGCCATGTCACGAAAGTCTTCTCCTCCTCCCATGCAAACCTGGATGCCCAATCGTTTTCAAACAGCTGTTGCATAGAGGCAAAGATTTCTGTCGGTGATACCCTTGCTTTGGCCCTTGATGCTGCTTTGCCAGTATGCATGAAAGGACTCCAGTGTTTGCGTTCCTGAGCTACTGCCTGGGTAGGTTCCCAAGATCCCTCCCCAGAAGCCACTGAACCAAAGTCCTTCTGCCCCCCAAATTGTAGAAGTGCAGCTGAAGCCTTTCTGCAGACTGCCAACTGGCACTTTCTGAAAGTACGTGTGCTGAAAGTACTCTGCAGCTTGCGCACTTTTCTTCCGTAGCCACGGGAAGGCCAATTGCCAGACCGCATCGAACAATTGCACAGTCGGCACCTCGCGGCTAATCTGGACAATTTTCTCCCAGTAGCCAAAGGTGCTCCCGTCCGGCGTGCTTGTCAAATCTGCAGCCGGCGTGGCAGGTCTCTCCGGGCTTGACGAGGCGCCCCGCTTCTTGCCCTTGTTCTTGGGTGTCCTGCGCAGTTGACGGCGCTTGCTCTCGGTACACTGCACATTCTACAACTGCAACAACGAGCCTGTTTGTCTTGCTTGCTCTTGCTTGTGTGACAAACTGAGGTTCCGGCGCTTTCACCTTTGGGGTCTTCTTGGCCGGCAAGTACTTCTGCATGCCCTTGTAGGTTGCTCGCCGCATGTGAGCATAGTCATCACATGGGCGTGCGTAAGGAAACACTTTGCGGCGCGAGGCCTCGATGCCTTTCGCGTAGTCCTTATGAACTTGCCAAACCTGCGCGCGGAGGTCCAGGCCGCAGTGCCTCTCAGCCAGCTCGCACGCCTCCGTGAAAATTTGGGTCATGTTGGCCTCTGACTCCGTGTCCACCAACGCTTGCAGGAATGGCTCTTGTGTTGCTGTGTGCGCCGAAGTGGACTTGGTGTGCGTGGCCCCGGCCCACGTCTTGCTTGGCACCGCACTGCTTACCAAGAAGGACAAAGTTACAATGCCGTACTCGTTGGCAACAACTTTTTGCTTTGCGTCCACTGCAAGCTTCACAACCTTCTCTTGCAGAGCTTGAGCGTGTCTCAGCATGCCCGGACAGGTCCACATCACACAGATCCTGTCCGCCTCAAAGGTTGAAGACGGCAAGACAAGGAGCTGCGACACCTTCCAAGTCTGCCAGGCCTCCATGTTGGGGCACGTGTGCTGTAGCGCTGCGTTTTGCAGCTCGCTCAACGTCACCTTGCTCTTGGCAGAGCGTGGTGGGCCTGCGTTGTTGAATCGCACTACAAAGTTGTGCAGTTGAGTATTGCTGCATCGTAGGCTCAAGTTCTGGGCCTTCAAGGCTTCTCGCACATCCTTTGACGTGACCTTTGGCCGCTTCTCCTCCAGCCCTTCCAAAGCGCACGCCTCCGCGCATGTCCACAAGCAGCCGCCGCGCGGGGGCTGCAGTTTCCCATGGCACCCTTTTTGCTCCACGCAAAGCAGCGGCCCTTTCTCTTCGAAGGTTAGGGTTGCCTTCACCTGTCGTGTGCAGCCGGCGCACACACTTTGCTGGCAGATCCCCAGCAACGTTTTGCCGTCCCTCTTCAACTGCTTTTCATGGAAGGTGTAAATGCCTTGGTCTTTCCGCCGTCCAAGAAGACGCTCCACTGCCTTCCGCAAGCCTGTGTAGGTTGCCACATCTGCGCCATCGCACGGCTTCCCGTGAAAGATTATCGCCCAACTCTCCGCTGGTGTGCTTGGGCCCTCCTCTGGCGCGCAAGGCGGCTCTCCTTCTTTTACAGTCGGCGTCGTCGCTGACCTTCCAAGCTGGGTGATGCCGGGTGCACCCACAAAATAGTCATTCAATCGCACGAAATCATATTAGTGTTCAAAGCTCTCTCCCATCATGGTTGCAGCCGCAATTGACCATTGTCTGAAAGATGAGTGGTGGAGCGAACTAACTTGCAATGAAGGTACACTTGCCTGTGAACAGCGGTTCAGCAAACCCTGTCACTTTCAATGCAGAGAAGAACAATTCCAGCCTGCCCCTCCTATCTCTAACTCGCCTTTTGGAGCATGCGCTCTCCCAGCCTCTTTGGAGCAATAGCCGGCTTCGGCTGCGCCTTCTTCTCGCTGCAAAGCTGCCTGCAAGCCACATGGGAAAGAGTGAGGCTGGTAAGCAAAGTTTCGCCTCGAAGCGAGACACTGCCCGAGACAAGAACACAACTCCGTGCCTTGGTTGCAGACAATCACGCGCTTCCGCTTTGGGTGGCCCAAATGACCAGCTAGGCACGCCCATTTCCTTCAGCGAATCCTTGGCTTCCTTGGGCAACACTGAATAGGCGAACTTGACAAAGACTAGCTCCTGCCCATTGTCGAAGCATTGCCCACGCACTTGTCCAAGACCACGCTCCGCTAACAGCGCCATGACCTCCTCATACGGGCCTTCTTTCCATAGCGGGGCCGGCAAGTTGCGAAAGGGCGGGCCGCACCGCCGCGTCCACTCTGCGCGCCACCCTGAGCCCACCAAGGTGCGAAGGAGCTCCCCCATCGCTTCCACGCCCTGCCGTGCGCCCAAACACACATCAACCACTCGGCACTCGAGTTTTCATGCAGTTTACATGGGTCGTGTCTTGTGGTTGTCAAGGCTAGCATGTCCGACTGCGTGCATTTTGCAGCTTGAACCCAATTGAACCCACGGCCTCTGCTACAGATGGCTTCGGCGTGCGCCGCGCTGAACGACCATGCTTGCGCATATCCACCTCCAAGACAGCCAAGCCGTACAGAAATCTCTCCTGAAAGCATAGTGTGGCCATCTTCAGCCCCTCCGCGCTCAGCTGGCCACTCCACGTTGGCAAGGTTGTCTTGGTCCTGAGCTATAGACACTTTTCCCAGCCAAACCCTACCTACGGCACGTGAGTGCGGCCCAGGCACCCACACGCAAGGGGCCACAGCTCCTCCATCAAAGTTCCGAAAAGAGCCACTGTGCTCACCCAATAAGGCGCCTTGTCAGTCCAGTTGCCAACGTCTCTCCAAAAAAAGTGCGTTTGGTGACATCCCGGCAAGTCAGACGGTATGCGTGGAACACCTCCTTCAGAGCCGGCGTGAGCTTCCACTCTCTTGCAGGCGCATCTATAGCCATCGGCGCCTTGCAACCTATTGACTTCAGCACAGACTGAAAGATGCGGCGCAGAATGGGCATCACCACCTGCTTCTCAAAGCCCTGCAGGCGAGGCGGGCCTGGATCCCGGAGAGCTCCGAATGAGAACATGCACCGCTGCGGCAAACCAATTTGGCTACGAACCTCGCTAGCCACCCACCAGTTCTGCCACACGGACAGCTGATGCAGCAAAGCAAAGGTTACGTTGGTCTTCTGCAAGGGTACACCTTTGACCGGCACAACCTTGTCCTCCGCCGACTCTTTCTTGGCCTTGCGGTCAATGGCAGTTTCCCACGGCACCTCGCCCCCTGTAGCGCTGTCCAAGAACCTGGAAAAGTTGATGTGTGTGGATTGATTCCAAGTGCCAGTTTGAGGATAGGATGGGCAGAGCAAAGGGCCGCCTTCACCAGCTATGAGCGTGGCGTAGCCATCTGTCACCTTTAGCTTGTCCACAGCCGCACAATGCGTGCCCGGACCTAACAAGTGAAACTTGTCCCAGCCACATCCAGCTGCGAGGTGCAGATTCTCTTGCAACACGCTGCGAAGGCATTCAACCATCGGGTCCACTGCCGGACTCTTCCCGCTTCCAGGGCGCGCTGTGCCAATGGCCCAGTATCGGCTGCGACACGGGTAGCCCGCCACATCCACGCAGATCTCTTTGTGGAGCAGACCCATTAGAAGCGCGCAGAAAGCATCGTAGTAGAACACGGTCGGCATGCCAGTGCTCCGACTCCATGCCTCCATGAGGACCAAGATTGGGTAAAAACTTGTCCGCCACAGCGGGTACTGCAGCTCCACCGCCTGCTTCCCGCCAAACTCATCAGCTTCAAACCCGGCAATCACAGCAGGCAACTGCTCCTTCACGTCTGCTTGCTCCATTGCCAAAATCTCTGCCTAAGCACATAGCAAGCAACACTCTGGATGCTTTTTCTTTACCCAGTTTCGTGTGGTTCCACCCTGCGAGCAGGCAGCCATGCGCACCATTCTTACAATTCCCCACCCCAACGTCGACCGCCCTCGCAATTTGAAGCCCGCTAAGGATCGCACGCTGTAAGCCGGCAGGTTCGCGAGAAAAGCAGCTACATCCTCACCGGCTTGGAAGATGGACAAGGCAGCGACCACATCCCTTTCGAACTCCAGGGTGCCATCAGCGGTTTCCGCAAAGGGCAAGGTCTGCAAGCCAAGGCTCTCCGCTTTTGCGTCCACCCCTGCTGTTGACTGCAGTGCCTCCCCAGCCTGCGAGTCCAGGACAGTGGACGCCAGCTCTGTCGTTGCGGGGGCAATGCTTCCTGCTGCATTCTCTTCCGCGTTGGCTGCAGGGTCTGTGGGTGTCATATCAGCAACTGACCCAGTCGCAGCCTGCTCTGTCGCAAAGCTAGTCACGACGCAAGTCTCGTACACAGCCAGCACCACGCTCTTGGCAACCTTCTTCGGCAAAGCAGACATTCGTGTCACCACAGTGTCATCGTACCGGAGCCAGCTACCACCCTCCATGGTCCATGTCACAAAGTGCCCCTGTTCAGCATCACCGCAATCTAAAGCAATATGCTCCACTAATGCTACAAACCTGTACAAGGTGCCGTTGATTTCCACTGGCCCTGTGCAGTCCACCTCGCGCTCATTCTTGCACCATCGCCCTGTGTGCGGGTCCACGTGGCCGTTTCGAGGGAAACTTACAATCAAGACCTCTGGCGCTGACAAAGGCCTGGACTCTTGAAGAACGTCCTTCTGGCCCCCACAAGCATCACACCTCAAGGCTTGCGGCAGCAACTGGCCTTGGAACGTGCGCTGTATCAGCGCCTGTGCAGTGGCGCGACTGCGCTGCATGTTCTCAACAAGGAGAACTGTCCAAGCCTCGGTCATCTCCGTGCTGTGCGCGACATTGTAGCTCCTGCAGGTGCCCACGCTGCACTTGTGGCGCTGCTGCCGAAGCACCTGCATTCCGAAGCACCCTTTCACAGTGTCCTCTACCTCGGGATCTCAATGCTAAAGTCCCTCAAACTTGCAGTTTCCCTGGAGCAACCCAACGAAAGGGCCCGCAAAAACAAGGCACCCCGTGTAAGACACCCCGTGTGCCCGCAAGCAACTCTTCGCGCGCCCTGTCTACCAGTGTGTTTGGGAAACTGCACCTTCCTGTTTCGCAGAGTTTTACCGGCGCTATACACAACCGGCTTGCTGCCCCGCGCCTTGGAGCACAACGACATGGCAAAGTCCGCAGCACTTTGCTGCTCACCGCCACCTAGCCCAGCTGCTTGCAAGAAAGGCTTCCACATCTCCATGGTCGCACGGTCCGCTTGGCCAAAGAGTCGAAGTTCGTTGGTTTGCCAAAGCAAGCATGTGGCGCAGTCGGCCGCGCACTTCCTCTGCGCAACATGTGTTTGCAGCCTAAGGCATAACTGCTTGGAATGGAAGAGAGCCTGTAGGACGCCATTCATGTAGCATGTGTTGCCCACATTGCAAAGGCCTGTGCCTTCGAACTGCTCCTCTCCGCGCTCAAGCTTGCACTCTTGCCTTTGTTCTTGCTTTTCCGCGCCACCCCGCACCGCATAACTTTGCCTGGCGCCAGAACATCCTTGCCAGCTGGTCGTCCTCTTGCCCCACAAGAAGGACTTCCATCCAGCAACCGCAATGCCAAGACAAGCCACGATCGCTGGCGGGACCTGCAGCAGGCCAGCAGCCCCATGCAAAAGCCCCTGTGCTGTTGGTAGCAACATCAGCGTGCCCAGCACGCCCACCATCGCTGCGTGGCGCCGAACTGCCCTCACGCATTGCCTTCGGCCGCGGCGGCGGCCCTTCACTTTCAAAACCTTGCCGCGCGCCACAACGCCGCGCACTTGCGGGCCCGCAGCCATCGCGCCCATGACCACTCCGACCAAGAACGCCACCGCGTAGCACATCGCCATCTCCATGCTGCTGATGAGCTGTTTGCTCTCCCACTAGACACGTTCCGTTCGTGCACCTAAAAAGCCGTTCCGTGTCAAGTCGTTCTGACACGTTGAGCCAACACGAGCCACCCATTCACGGCTTGCGCTTGCATGCCACTGTCTGCTGGTGATTCGCGCGCTTGCTAGCACTCTTGCAACTGCTGCACACGGGCTCAGTCTGAGGCGCGAGCCCGCCCATCAACGCAATCTTCGTCTTGTTCGCCTGCGTCCGAGCCTGAGCGATGCGTCTGAAACTCGCGGATGGGAAGAAGTTATCTGCATCACCTTTACACCTTTGCTCTCTTCTTATCTGTCTCTCCCTCTATGTATCTTTCGCTCTCTTTTGTGCGGAGTGCCCCTGTTTGACGCTGCTGGTTCGGAACGTGGCGACAGCCTTTTATCTTTCGCGCTCTTTTGTGCGGGGTGCCCCTGTTTCACGCTGCTTGTGCGGAACGTGGCAACAGCCTGCTACCGCAAAGACATGCTCGACCGAGTATCCGACAGCGACATCAACTGCGCCGCTCTATGGCGACGTGGCCGAAGCCTGCAGCAATGGCGCTGACATAAACGAAGACAGCTGCCAGCGCACACACTGCTGCCTCGCCAAGGCCTGTGACCGAGGCCTGAACCAACTGCGCTGAGCTAGGGGAAGACAGCTGCCAGCGCACATACTGCTGCCTCGCCGAGGCCTGTGACCGAAGCCTGAACCAACTGCGCTGAGCTAGGGGAAGACAGCCGCCAACGCGCACGCTGCTGCCTCACCGAGGCCTGTGACCGAAGCCTACGGGCCACTCACAGTGCGCGCGCGCCGCTACCTTAAACTCCGCGCATGAGACGCTGCTCGCGCTACCTTGTTCAACAGGTATGGATGGTGACAAGAAGGTGGCCCACGCTTTTGCCATTCGTTTAATCTTGCAAACCACAAGTCGCACGAACGCTGCTGGAGTAAGCTCCCCTTAAGCACGCGATGTCCACATGTCGGTCGCAGTCAACCTATCTACCTCGCAAACACTTCCCTTCATCGTTTCTGCCTTGAGTAACATCTGCTTCAGCCCGCATCAATACGCCTACCTAGCAAACCGTGTACGGATAACCTATGCGCTGAACAACTTCACTTAAACTCAAGATACAAAGAAGCAAGGCTGAACTACGGTAAGCATTATTGAGGAGAAGTTACAAGAGGTGGGATGGGGCCATAAGCTCACAACTCCAACTAAAAACAGCAACGCGGCGAGGAACATAGGACCAATAACCAGAGTGCAACCGTTGTCCAGCCCGTTGTCTAAGTGACTCGTGACCCATCGTTATCTTCCCATGCAAACTGCCCTGATTAATTCAATCCGATGATGTAAAAAACAGTCGGGGATGATGAAAGCCAAAAAACCAATAAGAAATTGAACAACTTCTGCCTGTTACACACCAAAGCTGCTGTCCAGTGCGCCAAACCAAAGTTTGAGGGTTAACAAAACCAGGGCCGAGGGTGAAAAAGGCAGGGGGGAGGGTGAAAAAAGAAAGGTTCGGGGTGAAAAAAGCAAGGTTGAGGGTGAACAGAACAATTTCAAGGGTTGGAAAAAAAGGACTCCTGAGGGTTAGAAAAACAAGGTCCCCGTTGAGAGGTTCCAAACAGGTCGGAGGGTTAAAAAAAAAGGAAGGGTTGAAAAAACAAGTATGAAGGGTGAAAAAAAAAGGGAGCCCATGGCAAAATCGTCGCTGGCACTGTGCTTCCAGCGCAAAAGCCTTGCGTAGTGCATGAGCAAAGCATCACAAAGGCCAACCGTGACATCAGACCGAACCGATTTCGCAGCTCGGCTGATAGCTGGTTGGAGTCCGAGTAAGGCTGGGGTGCCTCACTCCTGCTTGGCCGGTGCTGGGTCCACCATCTCCATGTCTCCCAGGGTGTCCGAGTCCGTGTTCAGCTCGTAGATCTCGGTGTCCACGGCGCTCTTCCTTGTGGGAGTCTTTGAGCGGCGGCATGGAAGAACTCCTGTCAGAGTTCGATTCTTCGATCGGCAATTTCCCTTGCCGTTGTTCTTCTCCGTGATCGTGCCGTCCGGACCCGCATTCGCGTTCTCGGTGTCCCGGTTGAACTGGTCCTCGAGCATCGCCGTCGCCTGGTTCTTGATCTCCGTGGCCAGGATGCTCCCCTGGGACTTTGGGACGTTGTCGCTCTCCTTGGTGGTGACCTTGACCAGTTTGTTCATGTCCGTGCGATAGCGAGGCGGTGGGAGATACTCCGGGTAGGAGCCCTTGAGCGGCTTCTCGACCACCAGATGGCTGCTGCTGCTGCTCCCGGCAGTTGTCTCCTCCAACTGATTCCTCTCCCAGCGCGAACCGCACTGCAGGCATGTCCACCAGAAGTAGCCTCGACCTGCTCGGTGACGTAGGTACTCCTGAACGTGAGGACAGACATCCGGCTCGTGGACCCAATTCTTCTGGGCTTTGGAGCGCGTGAGGGGCTTGCCGATCCTGCCGAACCACTTGCTGCGAGACGTTCTTCGTGGTCTGCTTCTTCATGGTCGTCTGACTCACGGCTCCCAACTCTTCCTCCACCTTTCTTGACTTCACCAGGTAGTCCACCACCAGCTGATCGGTGGCTGCCTTGATCAGGGTGAAGATCGCGAGGGTCATCCTTCGCCAAGCATTTTTCGCCCTTTGCGGATTCGGCTCCTTGGGGACGGTCGGATCCTTGGCATGGACCATCTTGTTGATGCGGTCCTTCAGCGATGCCATGGCCGACCACGAATTGTCGAGCTTGATTGAATAGCCACTTGAGCATGGGAAGTGGCTGCGGCGGTACATAGAGATCATGACCCGCACCGTGATCGCTCGGTCCAAACTGGCTTCCATTCTCAGAGATGTCAAAATGAGCAGCCTCTGATTGTTGGTGACCGGTTTTCCTGGGGTGCGCGTCTGGCTGTCGGTTCCGACCGCTTCGTGATGGCGGTTGGTAGCTAGAAAAAGCGCTTCCCCGGGCATAAGGTCCATTCGGTCCCCAGGGCCCATCAGCGCCAAAATCATCACCAGCGGGAGCACTTGCATCGCCTCCCAAAAAAACGTTGGCGTTGATGCCGTTCTGGTAAAAGGTGACACTGCCGTGCCAGGGCTGCTGAAGCTCTCTATGGGCGTGCTGCGTCTGCCAGTCGTCATCGATGGTGATCTCGCTGCCGTCATCGAACACGACATGTGATGTGCGGCGGCGAGTGATGTGCTTCGGAGGCAGTCCACTGCAATCCGCGGGCACAATCATGGGCAGGCGCCCGCCAGGTAGAGCTTGCACAAAAACTTTATCATCTGCTCGTTGAAGCCACACTGACACCATAGAGACCGTCGCCGATGAAGTGTGGGATGGAAGCACAAATGGGTCCAGGTCGGGGTTCTTTCGCATCTCGGTTGGCAAATTCCAACCGTCGGGATGGTACTGCAAAATGTCGATGGCGCGATGTCCGGTGGGCAATCTGAGCATCTCAACGGTGTTGCCGCCAATAACGCACTCGCTCTTCTGGAAGTCGATGATGGTGTCCATCGTCTCCAGGAAACTCACCGGCAGCAGGGGGGGTGTCTCAAACTCCCCGGTGTCCTTCAGCACCGTAAACCTGAGGATGCAGTTATGGCCAGCAACGCCAATAGGCACATCCATCATCGATTGCACCACAGCTGCTCCGCCAATGCCTCCAGCGCCAGGAAGTTCCACACCAGTCGCTGGAATGGCTCGCAATCCCATGGCCCGAAGAGAGCCACGCAACCTGTTCATCGCGTTCGATCCGATCACAGCGTCCTCGGCGGCGGTGTCCACCAAAGCCTCGCTCGGCCTGCATCGAACTCCTGCAAATACAGCGAGTCGCCTAGGCTGATGGTAGTGCATGAAGACTGCAGGGGCATTGGAAGGGTGGGCACCAAAGACGAAGATCCGCTTGGTCTTGTCGGAGAAACCTTTCGATGAGCTTGTAGTGGATGAAGTCTTCAAAGGGCAATCTCTGGCGAAATGTCCCATCTCGTTGCAGTTGAAGCACCGGGTGCGGTTCTGCAGGTCGCCCATGCTGCCCTTGAAGCCTCCGTCATCTGACTTCCCCTTCCGGCTGAACTTGGATTTGCCGCCCTTGTTCCATTTTCCCTTTTGGAAGGTTCTCTTTCCTCCAAAGGGCCGGTTGTAGTTGTCGCGCTTGGTGTAGCCGCGCTCGTTCCTCCGCCGTTGCAACTCCTTTCTCACATCTCGGTAGGCCGAGTGGTAGGCTTGGATGTAGTTCGCCTCGGTCTCCGAGTACTCTCGATCCTCCATGTACATCAGGGGGTTGCCCTCGTCATCCATGAGAGATTCTTCCTCCGCGTCCTCGTTCTCATCCTCCTCGAAGTAGGACTGATCGTCCTCCATGTGGTCGTCCGCATTAGCGTGCTCGGGGCTCGCGAAGTAGGCTCCTCGAGGTCGTCCACCAGCGTTGTCAGGTCGAGCAAGTGCCTCCGGCCTGTCCAACGGTCTGAGCATGTTGGCCACCTCATCAAAGGTCCGCATCATCGGTCCTTTCAGACTAACGAGTTCCCTCTGGAGCTCGTTGAGGTTGGCCTGCTTCAAGAGGATCCGCCCGCAAAGCCTGTCGCTGACATGTTCCCGAGGTGGGATTCCATCTCCTGTCGAGCCAGCTCCTTCGTTGCCACGAAGGATGAAAATGATTCACCTCGTCCGCGCTCTCCTTCGAATAGGAACTTGTCGACGGCCTGCGGGCCTGTGGCTTCCAAGAAGGGGCCGTACTTCTCCAAAAGCTTCGAGAGGATCGCCGAGTAGCCCTGTGCGGAGATCAGGATGTCCGTGGGCACGGTGTCGGCGATACGCCTGGGCTGAGAGCCCTCCGGAAAGCTCTGCAAGAGCTTGATGCCTCTCTTGTCCTGCGGGATCTGGCTCTCATGCTCCCACAGCGCCAAGAGTTTCAACCATGAACGGAGCGTGGTCGTAGCTCCATTCCAGCAAGGAATCGGCCTCTTTTCACCGGAGAGGGCCTGACTCAGCGCCTGGGCTATCAGCGCGTCTCCCGACAGTCGTCCTTGAGGATGAGCAGCATGACCTCCCGGCAGGGAAGGTTTTCCCAGCATGTCCATTGCAGAATGAACTACTCGTTGAGGACTTCCAGAAAGGCCAGAGCCTATGGCTGAGGCAAAGGTAGCTGCGTTCATCTGGGTGCCGGGGTCCACGTTCGTGGCGGGCAAAGGATTCGCATTGGGGCAAGGGGTGTTCAAGCTGAAGGGCAAGTTCTGGGTGTTCGCGCCGAAGGGCAAGTTCTGGGCATTCATGCCGGTGTGCACGTTCGGGGCGTTCACGCCAAAGGTCATGTTCTGGGCGTTCATGCCGTAGAGCAAGTTCGGCGTGTTCAAGCCGAAGTTCGCGCTCTGGGCATTCATGCCGAAGTTCTGATTCTGGGCACTCGTGCCGAAGTTCTGGTTCTGGGCACTCGTGCCGTCGGCGGTGTGCTGCATGTGGTGCGCATTGGGCGTCGGTCCTGAGGAAGGTCCAAAGGAAAGTGGTGGCCCCGCCGTGCTCAGTCCAGGTGGTGGACCGAGTCCGGCCGTTGTCGCCGCGGGTGTTCTCGCGGATGCGTCACTGCGGCCTTGGTTCCGCAGGTAGTCCAACCATGGGTCGGATGGCGAGGCCATCGGTAAGGCTCCGCTCACCACTGTTGGTGAGCACCCTACAAACGCTCTTTTCTACTGGGGCGCAGCCGATACAGCTCAAGGCCTGTCAAGACAATCCAGATCAACCCAAGACTCTTAAGTGGTTTCCTCACCACTGATTCAGAGCCAAGAGCCATGGAAACAATGTTGACCTTTGATGGGTCCTCAATTGATGGCTACTGGCTGTCTTTGCGCCAGTTGGGATGGATGAGACCCGATAAGTAGTGAGATAAGCCACCCTCCCATGGATCTTGTCCACCCATAGTATAAGGCTGCAATGGCGACATCATGCCAGTGACACGAACCATCGAACAACTCCCACGAATCTGAGGCCGGCGCCCCAATCGCAGTCATGGGATCCCTCCCTGTGGCCCAGGCGTCGTGTTCCAAAAAATGAAGGATCCCCACTAGACAAAGACCGATGCACTGACAGACTGAGCCACTCCCCCAGGCTTACTTGGCCTTCTCTGAGCCAGAAAACTGGCCACAGGAGCCTGTTTGGCTTCACGTGAGTGTGCTCTTTTTTTTGGGGGGGGACCACTCTTGGCTTGGTTTAAGGGGAGACCAACAGGAACACCACCACTGCGCCACCCCTTGGCCCGCCTGGTTCCGCCTCAAGTTCAGGGACTGCACGCAGCTCTTCAGGTCCCTCGGGTGGATCCTGGTGCTTGCTTTCCCTGGTGCTTAGCAGGGAATGAGAAATGCAAAAAAAAAAAACTGGTGGCTTCCGTCGGGGGATCTCTATAGGTTCATTCTTAGAGTCCCCACTGAGAATCAGCAAGTTTCACGGAATGCAGTGGATTTCCCAAGTTTGTCCTGCAAACAAGTCGAACCTTAGGAACCGGCTCCGGGAAGACCCTGATCCAATTGAAGGGAACCGGTTCCTACGCAAATGTCACGTTTCGGTTTTGCTGGTAAACAAAGCGAACCTATGACCAACTGCCAACAAATAGCAAGGCCCTGCAAAAATCAGTCGACAACTCCCCGCATGTCTACCTCACTTGCAAAAGGTAGACCAAAATGGACCCAAAAGATCTGAAGGCTTTGACAGCACGCTCGTCCCGAAAGAAAGCTAGCAGCCTTTACTGTGCGCAAGAAAAAACATGGCCGCCTTTTCTGGTTGGATAGCAAACATCCTTCAATGGAACAGGGCCCACACCAAGGCTTCCATCACAAGCTCGAGAAAGAAATCGATTGAAACAAGTCAAGGATTCAAAGTCTTGCTCTCATTTGGGGGTCCCTTGAAACTAGAATCTGGTTGAGCCAGACCCAACCCCGCTTTAGGTTCTACCGCCCAATGGATACCCTGCAAAAACAGGGACGCCTCTGGGTGCCGTCAACATCGAAGAGGTCGAAAGCGGCCTTCACCTCAAGGCAGGCGGCTGTAGCTAAAAATGCCTTTATTAAATCTCTCTCTCTCTCTCTGTTTCTTTCTTTCTTTCGCTCTTTTTGTTCTTTATTTCTTGTTCTTTGTTTCTTTCTGTCTTTGGCTAGCATCCCCTAATCCCAAGGGCCAGCACATGCCTTCAGTCTGTCTCTGCCCAAACGACCTGGAAATCAAAGGTTTGCCTTCGATCAACAAATTGAAAAAAGGGAACTGCCAAAAGGTTCGGTCGATTCGCTTTGGATAACTGCGTTTCGCGTAAGGCTTAAAAAAACTTGTCGACCGTGCGTTTGGCTGCAGATACCTGTCCTACCCGCCGCCGACTGAGAAAGTCTGCCATGCTTGTGTTGGACACCTGCATGTTGCTCGTTTTCTCGTATGGGTTAACTGGAAACCCCACCAAAACCCTGAAAATCAAGAACCTAAGCGACAACTGATTAGCCCCCTGCTCGTTGCTCGTCCCTGAAACCCAGCCAGCCAAGAAAACGATGGCCTCCTCGATCTCATCCTGCATCAGCCCCGGACGCTCGTACCTCTTCCAAGACCAGCTGGAAGACGCCATGAGCGGCTTGGAGAGGCTTGGAGCGATGGGCGAAAGTCGTGTTTTTCCTTGCTGGGGCCTTGAACAAGTGAGGAACACTTTGTCCCTGTTGCTTTTTGCCTAGGTCTCAACTGGTGAGGAAAAAAATGTCCACCCCCCTTTGGGCGTTTGGGGGACATGTGAAAAAGTCATAGGATGGAGCGCCTGGTGGAGACCTCAGGACCTTTCAGCCCGGCGAAGATCCCGGCCTGCAGGGCCTTCTCCTCCAAATCCCTATCCCTAGTTGTTGACCTCCAAAAAAAACACGCACACACCAAGTCCCTAGTTGTTGGCCCCCCCAAAAAAAGAATGCTTTTTAGTTTGGAGTAAGGCCTCAAAGTCCCGAAAATTGAACTTTGATCTGTGAGTGTGCTCACATTTGCCCCTCAGTGCGGGCAGTGAGGAGGGCTGCGTTTTGCTCGCCCAAGTCAGATCCGAGCTAACGCCGCGGGGAAGATATCAGCTGGGGAGGAAACCAAAACAAAACACTCGCGTGGCCCATCACATGCCATGTCCAAGATCTGGATGTTCAGCGAGCTGGAATGTGGTGTACTCATGTTGATATGTGCATGTGTGGATCCCACCAAAAGGAAACATGTTCGCCAACTCAAGTGTTGAGAACGCCTATCATGTCTTTACAGAAAAACCACTTGCTGACATTGAAAGCCCTAGAAACTGCCGATTTAATGACCCTGGTCCCATGGGCTCACAATTGTTAGACGAGCGCTGAAGGGGTAGCAATCGGCAAAGGGCGCCCAAGGCTCAGCCGAAAGGCTCTGGCAACACTCGTCAAAAGCACATCCCCCTTGAGTGGCCGGGTTCAAGACTACCAGGTTCATCTGGGCCGCTGATGCCAAAGATGTGTCTGGTCAACTAAGGGGTTTCTGAAGGAGTCGAGGGCAACACAGCAACATCATGCAACATCCGAGCATCCAAGCGCAAAGCGGCGCACCCGCGCACGCAGCGAGGTCTTTCGTTTCTGCGCTGCGGGCTCCACTTCAAGCCGTGCAAGCGCCAACAAAAAGCCCGCCTGTACATGTGGGCAGTGACGCACTTGGCCAAAGGGCCTGTAAACAGAAGACTGGTTTTTGGGGATCTTGACTCATTGAGGGGACTATCTGGAATACCGGGCTGTCTTGAAACGGGTATCCGAAAAGGTGGCAATGAATCCCTACTTCTCACAGTTACAACATCGTCTTGACTAGGGGCAAACGTGGGGTCAGCCAAAGGGCGACGTCGGCGTTGACCAAGTGAGCCGAGCTTTACATGGCTGCGGTTGGCACGGCCGTTTCTGGCAGCCCTTTTGGCGCGCACGGAATCACAGATCCCCCTTCAGACCCTCAGACCACCTGTCAGATTTATAAAACACTTCTTTACCCCTTTGCCGTTTACTCGGGTGTATGGTCCAGGGGCCTGGTGGTATATGTGACAGAACTATTCCTCGTGCCAGCCCAGGCTCTCGTCCACCAAGTGGCACAAGCGATGGGATGGGCGGCGAAATGGCTCCTTGCGAAAGAGTTCGCCTCTGACATTCTAGGGGTTGATTCCTTGTCCATTCTTTTCAGCCATCGTTCTTTTCAAAACCCCCCTGGGATTCTGATGGTTGCCTGAAAAGCAGGATCCCTGGAAAGAATTGGGGAGGTTCCCCTAGAAACATGGTTCTCCCCATCTTCCAAGGCACCCCAGGCTTAGAGGGGATTGCAAAAGAAGGTGCGCCTAGGACAATTCCATCAACGTTCTCCCGAATGTGGCATGCAGTCAACTCAGGAACCTTCTCAATCAGTGTGGGCAGAAGGCCATGGGCTGAGAAGGATTGCCGGGGATTCACAACCGCTGTGGTTGGCTTGCCCTTGGATTCTCACCAGGACCAAGGAAATAAAATATTCACCTTCTGGGACCTTGGCCACAAATGAGCCAAAGAGAAAAAGAACAAACATAAAGGTTGAAAAGCCTGGATTTTGAACTGAGTATCTGGGCTGTCCTCAGATCCCCTGCTAAAAGTTTAGCTTCTTTGTGGGGCTAAATGGACCTCCCCACTGTTTAAACCCTAACAACCTAAGCACTAAAACCTCAGGGAAGGCTGGGAGGCGCCAAGGTATGTGATACCTTCATTGAGGATTTGATGAAGCGGATCGGTCCCGGCTCTCGAAGTATGAGACGACTAAAGATACCGGGCGTACATAGCACAGGGTGAAAGCAAATGGAACAACACCCATGTCAGCAAGCCAAGGGAGTGACTAAAACCATCTAAAACCCCCTCCCCTAAAGTGAGCTCGTCATAGGCAAATCCTGACAGTCTGTCGAACTTTGCCGGGCGTCCACCGCCAGGAAGTACAAGCAAGGCAAGGCGAGCGCGCCCACACCTACCAGGATCACCGCTGTGGCCGCCTGGCGTCGGGTCGTGTTCCGTCGAACCTTGCCACCCGCAGCACCATGCCACAACAGGATCCCGGTTGTCCAGTGGGCGGAGCAAGGGAACCCATCTTGGTTGGTTTACCATCTTTCAGTGGGGAAACCAGGGTGCCGCTGAACTTCTTCTGAACTGACACACCTCACCAAGCCGTACTGCGCACCCACTTCCATTGTTGCACCGCGCTGCCTCTCCCCCCGCCTGCAGCTCTGCAGCAGACTGGTCCTCTTTTCCGCAGCCGGCGGCCTCTGCAGCCAGACAGTTGGCCAGCAGCAGTGGGAGATTCACCAGGACCTGACGACCGAAGGGCTCCCAAAACTCGACGATCAATGATTGGGTGACCCGAAATGGATTATAGCCAATGGGTGCTAGGGTTCTACGCACATATTGTCCCTCGGTGCAAGCTGGAACCTTCTTGCGATCCCTTGATTTAGCGGCCCTACATAGCCAGAAT